GAAGGTTGTTACTGTGAGAGATTTTGGGTATTTTTTGTACTTGCGAATTATTTATTTAGCTAATTTGAAGCTTGCCCATGTTGGTATTTTCTTGTTTGATGAAATTGTTATTTTTCTTTTTTTTTCCGATTTGTTGAGAAAATAGTAATCAAATATTGTGGGTTTTAGATGGAATAAGTTTAACAAGGTAGTGGACTCATTCAAAGTTTTTGTCGCAGACCAGTTCGGTTTAGCTTTTCTGTAGATTTATTTGCTTGTTGGTAGAAGCATTAGGAACACGTTAAATTTAGATTTTGTAGGAAAATAGTGTTGAATTTTCTGTTTGAAGTTGATAATTGAAGTTTATGGATTCTTTCATGGTTTATGAAAAGTATGTTTATCTTTTGTCGCTTAAGTTTATTTACTTTTTTGGCATAAGAAGGAAAGCGGACACAAGCTCATTTTATGAACGGATGTTGGACCCCTTTCTGTGGCTTAATTGTTTGAAGGTTGGTCAGCATTGTCGGCCATCTTAATGATTTTTAAATTGCAAATTACAACTCTTGTAAGATTCAGTTGCAATGCTCTACTCCCTAGAGAAATTGGAGAAGAAAGTGCAGAACACTTAGAAATATGGAATGAGTGTGAATGTACACCAAACATGACATACATTATGTGGAAAAAAAGAAAAGAGGAAAAAATACATTGTGCGGAAAGCCTATCAAAAAGAAAATCAGATAAAACATTGTGCGATAAGACAAACTGGTAAAATTGGAATTAAAGGTGAAACAATGTGAGAGTCAAGTCTTCAGTTGACTTCCAAGTACTACTGCCGTTTGATACTGGAAGTCTACAATTTTACTGATTTTAGATGTACACTAATGCCTCATTAAGTACTTTTTTTTTTCTTTTCAAAATCTTCTCTAAATAGCCTGTTTGTAGTAAGATGTTTTGGCTAAACTAATTTACAGTTGATATATTATTTTCATTTTTCTCTTTCGCCTCTAACTTACTGAGCCCCATTTTACCATCTTGCAGGGTGTGAGATTACATGTCTTAAAAAGTTTGTATTATCTGCTTGTCCATTTCTCCTTGAACCCACTACGAAGTCCAACGGACAATCTTGGTTTTGATGATTTGTGTATGGAAATTGATCACAATGGATTTGAGGCATCATCAGAAGATATAGAAACCCTCTCTGGTGTATTATTTGTAGAAATGTATGAGAGGTTTGACCATTTATTCTCTGCCTACCATAATAGCTCTGCGAATGATCTTAGACAAGGTAATTTGCAGCGGAATATCTCCGAAGATGCTGAAATTTTTTATTTGCTTCTAAGGTGTTGTATGGTCACCTTGCCCTTGCTTGTGTCCAGACACAGTCTTCTTTTAGAAAACGGGAAGGTACTTTTGGGGTTACTTCGAAAGTTATGTTCAATAAGAACATTTGGGGCAGAAAATAGGACGGAAATTACTTTTGAAAAATCAGTTTCTCAAGCATGCACGTCTGAGGATAATGATTGCAGAACAACCTCCACAGAGGACTTTGTTGCATCCCTCCATTTCTTTGAGCCATCTGATCTTCACACTTCTTTCTTGCGTGCAACGTTTGAGGTAATTTCCTTATTAATCTCCCGTTGGTTAATAGAAAGCTCATGATTTATGCTTCTTGTTTGTCATGAAATAAATCTTATGCTTCCTTGTCTGCAAACGTAAAATATGATTCACCATTTATAAGGTTTGAGTGAGTTAGTCTATCTTCACTTAGTGGATCACTAGCAGTACAATAGGGAGGTAAGGAATAAATATTGATTCAAACTCTACTGAGTGAAGCGTGTAGGTGTTAATTCAGCGGCATGACTAAGCTAAAAGCTTAATGACGTGAGCTGCATCTTACAATACTGGACTCTGGATATACTATATTACATCTCAAAAAAGAAGTCTCACAAGCACGGTTCTCTAACAAAGCTTGTATATGCAAAATCTGGTTGAGAACAGAATGAGTGTCTGGATATAGGAGAGAAGTGCACAAATTTTATTTAAAATTGTTGCTGTACAGCGAGGAAATTACTTAACACTTCCATGTTTAATATGTTTCTTCTCGTATTCATTCAGCCAGGACAGAAAGGGAATGGAAAGGGGAAAAAGGTTTGGTTACTGTCTTTAGTTGGATGCTAGGCAAGAGTACAAAAGTCAGCATGCATATGATATGCGACTTCTTTTTAAACAGCCATGGACTTTCTCAGTGTTTCCTTAGAGAAGTTCTTTCACTGCAAAATATCTGTTTCTTTTTTGGAGTCTATGAGGTTACAACTATTACCACCACCTTGGCCTTATGTTAATCTATAAACTATCTTGTTTCATTACCAGTGACATCCACCAGTCTTTGTTAGGTTTTCCAGTTCTCTCTTTATTTTTCTTTCATTTGTACATTCTGTAATTTACTGTTGTAACTTGCCTCATGTTGTGTACTTCACTTAGGACGTATAATTTACCCCCTTAATACGGAGGAAATTACATGTATGCAGGTTTTTGTGGATGAGCTTCTGGTGCATGGACAGTTGAGACAGTTCTTTAAGCTTATTGATTCTCTAGCTTCTTCTGCGGAAATAATATTTACACCTCAGCCAAGTCAGGGAGATATAGGAATAGTAATAGAAGTTTTCTCTAGGTACTTCTTAATATCATGGTCTGATGAGCATAGGTCTGGAAATCATCTTAACAGATTATTATTGGTAAACAATGAACATTTAAAATTCTCATTAAAAGCTCAAGAATTGAGTTCGACCGCGGCCGTAGCATTGCTCCTCAACCCCATCAGCCTTTCTGCACCCAAACTAATGCAAG